TGAGGGAGCATACCACCCTGTTCTTATCGGCATTCCGGTCATAATTTCTGGCGTCGCAAGCCCTTCGGCAGTCTTGTTGAGAACTTTGGATTGGCTGGGGCTGTCTGGCAATGCTCTTACTCGACAATACAGCATAACTATGCTCGTCGAAACAAAGATAATCCCATCAAAATGTGTTTTCTACCTTTTATTTTTGCTTTGTTTGTGCTCATAGCAAAGTTAGTTAAAAGCAAACTACATTAACGATGGTGAATCCAGAGGTTTTTTTTTTTTTTTTTCCAGACAAGAATTTAATGGCATTAGTGTATATATATACTCTTAGTTTGAGTACGATTTGGTGCTGCATGAAAACTTTTCTTGCTACATTGATGAACTAGCACAGTGTCTTGAGAACTTCTAGTTCATTATAATCTTCGAGAGAAAGTCGATGCCGCCGAGGAGATGGGTGGAGATCCTTCTGATAGGAGGGAGGAGCTTGTAACCATTCCAGTCAGAATTTTCCAAATCGCCAGCCCTTTGGCAGTGTTGTTGTGCACTTCGTTTTAGCTGGTGCAATCTGGCAAAGTTCTTACTCTACAATGGAGTGATAACCACACTCGTCAGAACTTGGATAATCGAATCAAATCAAAATGTGTCTTCTAACTTCCATTTCCGCATTGTTTGTGGTCATTTGGAAGCTAGTTTAGAGCAGCCCACATGAGCCATTGGTTGAACATGAACCCACATGAGTACAGATTTCAAAATTTGAATTGAAAAGGTCAAAGAATGAAACAAACTCTCTTTAGTCAACGAACCAACCTAAAATTATCCAAATCTAGGCAAATATATTAGCAAAAAAAAAAAAAATTCTCAAGACCACTTTTAATTTTAAACCTAATTGATTACTTTTATGTATGTTTGATAATGTGATTCGTTTATGTATGTTTAATAATATGATTGAACCTTTTTTTTTATCTAAAATAATATTAAGTTGATTTTTTTAATATTTTTTTATGATTCTAATATATTGATTTGAAGAATAAAATTAAAAAAATTATTTAAATATATTTTTAATTAAAAACTATTTTTTAAAAAACATCTAGCACGTTACCAATTGGAAAATTTGGGGGAATCATCTTGTGTTATCCAGTTTTGTATCTATTGTTCTAAAGAGCATGATATTCAGCAGTTTGTGCTGATTGTTTAGTCACAACCATACTTGAACAATATTGTTGTAGTTCTGTATAACACATTCAGTTCACCTCATGTGTTCAACTGTCTTCAAACATATCTTGACCTGTGTTTCTTGTATTAGGTTCCATTACACGTGCTATGACAAGAAATGTGGCCCCATACACAAGTCTATTGAGGCATTGGACAAGATGAGCGTGGACATAATTGAAAAAGGGAATGCAGATGCGTTTAAACAATATCTGTCGTAGTATGGCAACCCTATCTGTGGAAGACATCCTATTGGTGTTTTCTTGCATGTAAGTGCCCAAATCTCAGAAGTTACCTAAATGGCTTTTGATATCAGCCCCAAAAGATGTTTGCAGATGTCTTTACAACTTTTTTCTTCCATTTTCTACATGTAATTTTTGCCAGCCATGTTTTACTTCTATTTAGTTGAGTAATTCATGACAATTGGTTTCCCACATATCACACCAGTGATAAATTTAGGTTTAAAACACTGTGTAAAATTTTTTGGATATATTATTGCATGTTTTTTTAGTTTCTATTGTATCCTTTTGTTTGGTATCTATGATACTCTCAGATGTTGAGAAATTGCTCGACAAAGATGAAGATCAAGTTCCCAGCAGTGTCAGCTATGCATCTGCAGCAGCGAAGGTCGATGCTTGAAGCTGGGATATTGAGCATTCAAAATTTACTTGTGTGGAAGCAATAAACAATTTAAACTAATTTGAATTAAATGTTTTGTGCAACTTAATTTGAACACGCATTTGCAAGGATCCATCTTGCTATGCATTCCTTGTTTATAGACTGAAGATAACAACGAAGCCTAATTCCCTTTTCCTCGTTTACTGTTCCGGGCTCCATCACTAAATTTTAATGTCAACAGGGGTCGTGGTAGTTGAGCAGCATTGGGCATTGATCTGCCATTATTGTCTGTCTACCGGAAAACGCCTTGCAATACATTGCTCTTGACTGAAATAGGGTGCGATAATTCAAGTAAAAAATGGTGGTTGTGGTGATATGGGCAGTAAAAGAGGTGTGTAATTCCATGACCCTCTCAATAGAGAGTTCAAGTGCAAAATGGCAAAATGGTGGATTTCTTGGGCATCTTTAATGACCAGGTCAGTGGAAATCCAGAGACTACAGTTAGTTTGGAAGAAGGAAGGCAAGCCCGGCCAGTGAATACGAGTACAGATATGGATGTGGTGGGTCGTTGAGCGGTCTCCATATGGTTCTCTCGGAAGCCAAAAATCCTTGGTGAGAAGGTGAAAGATTCGAGGATTGTTGGCTTTCAAGTCTTAGTTCATTTTGGATTATATTCGACTTCATAAGCATATCATGGCTTTAGTTAGCTGGAAAAATAAAACAAAAGATTGATAGCTGGAAAAATAAAACAAAAGATTGAAAGAGACTTTCTTTCCCTCTATAATCATAGTTGAGTCATGTTTAGTTGTGGGTTAGCTAACGAATCAATTCAAATTAATCTTAAAATGATATTATTTTAAATAAAAAATTAAATAGTTGTAGATAATTTTAAAAAAATCATCAAAATTGACCAGTTAAATCTCAGATTTGGCCAAGTTAAGGGTCAACCTATAATGTCACTCGAATTTAGGAATTTAACCAAATTAACTTTTTAAACTGGTCAGAAGCAAACCTGTCCTGGATCAGGTTGACGTTACAGAACCATGGTTCTCCTTCCCTCGCACCATTTGTTGACATTGCACGAGGAAAACAAACAATTAAAGAAAGGAGGATTTAGCGAAGGACAGTTATTGCTGCATGCAGTAAGCCAGTAACTGATCACAGTGATGAAAAAAACCATGCTCGTGCATTATTTATGGGAACCACCGTGCATGGTTCGCGTTAACAGCTAGGATCAGTGACTGCATAGCCGTGACTGTCTATGACAAAATTTGGAAAACTAATGGTTTTATTTTCATAGACCATGGCATATCTTATTGGATGATACCATAAATTACTGTCTTAGCTACTCGTTACAAAGACAAACATCTGTATTTACACACACTTGGCCAGCCAAAGTTTGAGCATAGTTTTCATACTCTGAATTCTCACTGATTAGCTTCTGATTCAGCAGGTATTTTAGTTGCTGATCCGTTTTCATATGCTGTCAGCATACTCCATTTACCGGCAGAAATTGGGGGCTCAAAGACAATAACAGCACCATCTTTCAGTCCCACAGCAAACTGTTCAGGTTCCTGAGGATGTGCAGCAACGACAAGCGGATACACTCCCAAACTACAGCCACAAAAAGACCACAAGATAAAATCATTAGCCAATTATCAGATCAGATATTTGACAAGGCTTCAAATACACAGGAATAACGAGAGAACAACTAGAAATGTATGAGATTGGCAGCTCCTCTGCTGTAATTCATTTCAGTGTGAGGGTTACCTTGAAGTGGGAGAAAGGTAAGCAGTTGGATTAATCCGACAGTATAACTGAAAATCCGAAGCATCAAATATAGATACAAGCCCATCTTCAAAGCTAGCATACACCATCTGGCCATCACACGAGAATGTTGCATGGGAGATTGGTGCTCCAAAATCGCCTGGACTCCACTGTAAACATAATAAAGGAATAAAAAAATGCTTCTATTTATATCCTCACTGAGCAGTCCAATGACTGAAACACAGCTTCTTAGACAGAGAGAGTGAGAACCTGCTTCACACACTCTAATTTTCTGGCATCATAGATTGAAAGGCAAGTCTCATGTACTGCAAGGAATTCTGTCTGATTCTGATGAAACTGGATGTCTGTATCTACTGATAATGAAGAAAGTGTTCTGTCATCGGGAATCTGCAAGAATCTGCTCCTCTCTTTTCCCCACCCTTCAACTTTCCAGACAAAAATCTGCAGAAAAGAAAAGAACATGACCGCATAAGCACACTTCAGACAAATAAATGAAGTCAAGGCAGCATTAGTTAACAGCAATGCCTGAAAATGCTGTTGGAAATCCTCATCAAGGAAAGTGAGCATTGGACTTATTCCATATAATTTCAACACTAACCTGAGCATCTGCTCCAGAAGAAACAAGTACATTCAGATAATTAGAGAATGCAAGACCAGAGACTCTTTTAGAATGACCCTGAAGTATGGTATCAACCTGCATGAATTAAGGAAATGACAAACTTTGCTTGATTTTGCTCTTGTAAGCATTGGTGCATATCAGGAGAAATACATACCATAGCTGAGCGGACATTATAAATTAGAATCGTGGAATCATCTCTCCCTATAGCAAGTATGTTGTTATCTTGAGGGTAGAAAGCAATACATGTTGCTGCAGGTTGTTGCATGATAGGCAGCATTGTCTGTTAAGTTTAAGAATGTTCAGTAAGTTCCTGTGTGCTTGCAAGCAAACCCAAAACACATGAACAAATCCAAAAGATTTGAAATCATGTTATGTGTAAAAGATAAATATTTTTATATCAGAAGATGACAATAAAAAGCAAGAAAAACACCTGTGACAGGTATTTTAAGTTTCAAAAACAATAACTTAGAGCCATATATGAAAGTTTTAAAATAAGTTAAAATGTACAAGTGGAAAGTTTTTCATCCCAAGTAAACTTAGAACAATTTGGAAATCATGACAATAATTGGATGATTTGGAGTCAAATTGAATATATAGAGATATCAAGTATACAGGACAAAGAAGATCACACAATGCTAATGAAAATGTGCATGGATCATGGAGAACTTCATAAATTTGAAGAATTTGTAGACTGCAAATGGTGTTCATGATACCTTGAATTTCAGCAAGCTATACAAAGAAATTCTCCCTCCACATGCTGACAGGAGATATGAATCATTCTTAGACAGGGCAAAGCAGGGAACTGCCTCTTCAAGTCTGCTGAGTGTAAGGTCATTTGTCATCAGTCCTGAGCTGCTACTGGGTTGCCACAATTGAGGGGGAACTTTTGCAGTTGCCTACCATTAACATTTCATCACAATGGCATTATTAACAACAGGTAACACATTTCAAAGAACAATTTCAAATGGAAGGATAGAATTGTTCATGTCTCTTGTCTTGCTCACCTTGTCACTCGAGTGAGTGTCATTCTGTGACCATTTCCAACATAAATGGGAGGCATTTGATGTTAATGCCAAAATGGTGTTACCAGCATGGTGTTACCAGCATGGTTGTAAATGAGCCTCGATATCTACATTTGTGTGAGAGAAATCTATTTATTAAATTCTCATCCTTTCACAGTATATTGCAATTTTTAAGGGTCTCAAATTCTCAAGCAATTGCAACAGTATCTCCAAAAGCAAAGATCTGTGTTGCTTTGGAATATATAGAACATTTTACAGATGATTTTAGGGATCCTTCCAAATTTAAAATGTGTACACATGTATTGAGAAATCCCATCCTTCATATCCAAAACACACAAGTTGATTGTACAATATGCAAAGCAAGAACCAACAAGAAACTTAAACTACCAAGAAACACAAAGGAGAATAAAACAACAATCTATGATAATGATCAAAACATCTGAAAACATGTCTACATTCATAGGACTTGAAATACTTGAAGCAGAAGGAATGAAAAATAAACCAAAAGAAAAATTGAGCTGGTAGAACACAGGACAGTTGAACCTTGTTTGTTTTCATGGGAGAAGGAAGTTGCAGAATCTGGAACTGAGAAGGGCTTGTTATTAAAATGAGCCTCCTGCTCTTCGATGTAGTGGATTTTCCAATAATTTTAGATTTCACTACCTCCGAGCTTTCTGGGTTTCCATTCTGTAGAAGATTAAAAAAATTGCTTAGTACTCCAAGCTTCCAAGTAAATTCCAAAGTCATGACAAGACCTACCTCAAGATAGGATTGTATTAAGCAAAAAACAACACATTGTGAAGTACAAGATATAGTGTGAATCCCAGACAAAATCTAGAGTTACCCACGTTTGTGACAGCTTCATCTGCAGCTCCAGCACAAGCAACAGTTGAACTCGGTTCAATACCAAGCTGCCAAAAAGGAATAGCATCAGACAGTGATCTATCTTCTAACACAAGATACAACTGTATTAAGAATGCCCACCATCTTAAAGTTATGACAGAGATCTCCAGAAGCATCATCAGAACAATTTTGTGATGTATGCAGTGAATGGAGACCGCTATCTTTTGCCAAGATCTTGATTTTGTTGTCATTTGCAGAAACAGCTAACAGCGTGCCTTCCTTATTGAATCGAACACGGGGGTTTTCCTTCCGATCAAGAAAAAAAAGGAGAATTAAATAAGAAACTCAAGACGCCCTTCTTTATGTATGGAATGTTTAATTGAAACTCAAATCAAATCACCACTTGAACCAATCTTTAGTAAATTGTTGTAGAAATTTAATTAAGACTATCACCAGAAACGTGATAGACCATTGAGAAATTTATACCTTCACCTGCATAATGATTGCCATGGTAAAATTGTAGCATCACAACAGTACTAAGGAACTTACTGGCAAGCCTCCCTCAGCATCAATGGTTGTGAAAAGCTCAACTTTGTCCATATCCCATATTTTGATCACATGCTCATCACCAGCAGCTAAAACCTGGTTCTTCATTATATCAAACTGCACTACACCCGAAGAACTCTTCCGCAATCCTATATAGGTTCTTTTTATGGAACCTTCAGAGTCACCCCATTCAGCAAGAAATGACTCTCCAGATTTACTGGTCCCACATGAAAAAAGCCTACAAAGCATTCAATTACAGCATGATTTACCCATCAAATATTAAAAGCATGTGAAACATTGCAAAAGTAACTCAGTCTGAGTAAATGAAACCTTCTATCTCCACTATAAGCCATTGATGTACACCCCAGGCCAAGAGCATCAGAATCTACTCTGGCTCCTAGATTATCATATAGGCACACTTTTATGTTGCTGTTCACTGATGTTGCAGAGAGAAACTGAGGAATTAAAAATAAATAAAAAGTAGAAGCAAAGATGGAGTCATCATGAGTTTGAGAAGGCATGGAGAAGAATCAATATCACCACCATGAGCAAGAGTAGAATCGAGAGTAATCCTTACATGAACGTTTCCCTTGCTATGAGGACAGAGAGAATAAACAGGAGCATCATGGCCTTCAAAAGTATACATTTTGACACCACTGGTCACATCCCATGCCTTAAATGACCATCAGAAAAATAATGATCACTCTCTTTCCAAGACAAAAAAAAATAATCCATTATCTAATTCTAATGTAAAATAAAGCCAACCTTAACTGTCTTGTCATCACCACATGTAATGACCAACAGTTGTTTCTCAGGGGCAGAGAATGCTAGGTCATTTACACCACCAACATGAGCATCAATCTAGATATAGGAAATAAGTTAGTGAATAAGCTCAATAAGACAAATATCCAATGAATGAACAGAGAAGTAAAAAAAATTAGTAAAGTTAATAGTATAATTAGAAACCTACCTCCAATTTCTGCTGTGCATCTTTGGCATCATTATAAGAATATATTTGCACCATGTGTTTTGAATATGCAACCCCTTTTCGAAATCAACACAACAAGGTTAAATTAATGAACAAGCAAAGTCCAAATGACAGGAAGTGATTTCTTATTGTCTTCCATTATCTCTAAACTTACCGAAGAAACAACCTTCTGGGCTCCAAGCAACACAATTCACAGAAACACTAGGATCCTCGAGCAAAGTTGCCTGGATTTACACAAGATCATTTCATATTTCAGACCAATGATTATTTTCCTGCTAAAATGGAAGCTTTGTATAGAAGGGGACAAACCTTGAAAATCTTTGAGCATGCTGCAATATCCCAGACCTTAAAATTCCTTGAAAGTAAACTTTCCCCTGATCTAACTCCCACAATCCTATGTCCCCCACAGAAGTTCCAACTGAAGTATCAAACCATCAGTTTCCATGAGTAAACATTCAGTTCAAATAAGGTGTTTATCCCCAAAGGCCTAAATTATGAGAGTTATTGAAAAGATATCCTTATGAGTAGACCTAAAAGAACAGTCTGATGTTCAGGGTGAAAATCCATGCTTGTTGGAGATGACCCCTCATTTAATATCCTTAAAACATTCTTAGGCAAGTCATTCTGATGTTCAGGATGAAAATCCATGCTTGTTGGAGATGACCCCTCATTTAATATCCTTAAAACATTCTTAGGCAAGTCATCAGAAATGTCGATGGAGCTTTGATCAGGACGAGAGTCAGCTGATATTTCCTGCATACATGGAAACCGTGACTTCAGTAACAAATTGTCATTGTCATTATCATTTACCAATGTATCAAAAAAAAAAATCAAGCTTACCTTGTCAGAAGGCCTTCTTAGGATTTCAGTTTCACTTTCAGGAATACTACTGTAATGTACACTAGTAATATCCTCTGAACCATCTGTAATAGTAGCTGCAAACATATAATTGATAGTTAGCAATGAAAGGAATTTTTTTTTTGTAACCACAATAATACGGCTTTCATACAAGGTCATAGAAATATTAATGAGAGAATCATGAACCAAATCCTATGTTTGTTGGATCACCGAGAGACAAAGCTTCACTTGAAATTGAAGAGTGAGCCTCAGAAGATGAGGTAGAATTTGAGGCTAAGGAAGTTGAAACTAGCATTGATGTGCTTTGAGAAGGCTGGACAAAATTATTGAAGCTCATTAGAAGGATTACATTTGAATACTGTTAAATGGAATCAAGCTGGCTTGGTTAGGAACGATACTTGAATCAATTTATTGGAAAGAAAGAAAAAAGGAGGAAAATGATCATCATTCTTCTCAAGTCATACCACTGGATTGCTATCACTTGATGTTGAAAATAAATGATCATCTGATGGAATTGGTGCACAGACATGATCCACAAAAAGGGTTCTTATATCAGGATTTGGCTGTGGATATGCACCAAGAACATGCTGCCAATTCAGACTGTCAGATTAAATACCAAAATCAGTTTTCTCTCGATGCCAAATAAACATATCTAGAAATTTTGAGGAGAATCCAACATGTGTATGTTCATATAAAAGTGTGAGTACTTGCATATACTCCATGTTTGTATCTAGTGCCTGTGTTTGGTGTGTGGCTTGGTGTATTCAAGTTGTGATGTGAAGTTGACAATTTGATTACCTTTGGTTTATGAGGCTTCGTAATCTATGACTTGCAGCATTCGGAAATTCCAATTTGTCACTGAAAAGGGGGTTTGCTTCAATAAGTTTCTTAAGCTCAACCCTCATAACTTTTCTTGCAGAGTCTGCATCACTATACATGGAGAGTGACTCATGGTCCCTGTACAACAACAGGAGAATTATGCTTAGCATGCTACTCCTATGGAATGTAAATAATAATAACAACAACAACAAAAATAACATATGCATACCATAGATTTGTACCTTATATCATTCAATGTCAAAAGCAAAGTCATTTCCTTAAACAGCTCCTCATTATATGGGACAAAAGTTTTCAAATCCTTCACAAGGATGTCTAAAGCCTTGGCACGGTCCTTGCTGTAAAATCAATTAACAAATTTCAACTAGGATTTGATGTGACATGCATAATGCCTGCAAAATGATTTCATGGACAAGTTTGTTGAAAGAAAGAAAGCTGCAGTCTTACTTGTCCAATGCCTCCAGAAATTTCTGCTTCCTAATTTCAAAATAGACCTTCATCGAGAATCTATTGTCAGATAATTTTGTGAAACAAGAAAAATATCTCTCAGCCTCATCCCAATCACCACTGCATATCATATCCTCAAAAAACTTCATGTTGAAGTAATAACTACTTTCACGCTCAAGCCTAGGCATCGATGATAAAGCAAAGCGGATTACACACAATTAATCAACTGATTCATCAAGAAATCGCATAATTCATCTAAAAGAGCCTGATAGAGAAGGAGAAAGTAACATACATGCGAGCAGTTTCTTTGAACCCTTCCTCATCTAAGAACTGTGAGATTAACAAGACAAGATCTTTACTGAGAGCAGACATCTCCACCGCAGCCTTGCTTGTCACTTGAACCTCTAAATGAATCCAAATCACAGGATTTGTTAAATTAAATAAAACTTCGCAAGTTCTAGCTGAAAATGTAATTTGAACAGTCCATACATGAAAAGAGAAAAACAATAAATCCCCATAACTTCTAACTCACAAGATTTTGATTTTCTAGGACACCAAACGAAGGGTTTGAGTTTTGATCAGGTGAACATGAGCCCAAAACAAACCAAAAAATAAGAGATGACAATCATCTACTCAATGAAAGACAATTCTCTCTTACATCTCCATCTAATTGAAGATATAAGATTTTGATCAAATTAAATGCTCCAATTAAGAATAATTACGCAAAGAAATTGATGATTCTCAAACAGAACACAGTAAATCAATCAAGAAATTCTGGGTTCTTAACCAATCAAGACAGTACCCTTTTTAGCTTAAAATCACTAAAACTAAAGCCAAACACCATTAAACAAGATAAAAGTGAGAAAAATTTCACAACATATAAGAGATGGGCTTCAAAGAAAAGCAGAGAATAAAACAAAGTTAGGTGAAAGCTCACCTGGCAAGGGAATTGGATAGGGTCAGAAAGATAGAGTGAGAAAGAGATCAGTAAGTGACCATGACTCTTAGCTTCAAAAAACAAAAGGGTCTCTTAATAAGTGATGGGCATCGAAGAAAAGCAGAGAAAAAAACAAAGCTTGGTGAAGGCTCGCCTGGTAAGTGAATTGGACTGACTCAGAAAGATTGAGTGTGAGAGAGATGAGTGCCATGACTTTAGCTTCAAAAAGCAAAAGGGTCTCTTTTAGGCGGACACGTGCTTTTCTTTTTTTACTTCAAATTAAACTTTTTTAATATTTTTAAATTACTTTGATATACTAGTATAAAAATTATTTTAATATATTTTTAAATATAAAATCATTTGAAAAGCGAACATTATCTCGTCCAAACAACATTATTTCTCTCTGTGTTTTCTTTACTTTAACAGCTGAACTCAGACGCTCTGTGCTCAAATATAACAAGACTGGCGACATGTACGAGATGATAAGTCACTGGAGTTATGACTGATAAGTTATCTTGGAAAATATGTGATCCGACGGAGTGCGTATAAAAAGACTGTTGTAATGGGGTCCACTTTTAGACAAATGTCGTTCATTCAGAGAGCGCAACGTCAGATTTTAGACACGTGATACAACTTTCTTATAGTGCCAGAATTTTCCTCGAAGAAACATTTTGGCATCCCACGTAAACAACTAGCAAATTTTTATTTACGTAATTTGTTTTTATGTTTTAAAAATATATTTTTAAAATTTTATTTTTTATTGTAAATCAATTTTATTTTAGCATTTTTATAAATTTATTTTTAATTTATATTCAAATAAAAATTACTTCAAAAATTAATAACAATCACATTACTACTTGAGTTTTGAATGTAAAAAGACTTTTTTTAATAAAAATATTATTGATAAATAATTTAAATAATAATTTTCACTTTTTTTTTATATATATATATATATATATATATTATTAAATTCAATATTAAAAATGTTTT